TTGTGTTTAATAACTGGATCGAAGGTAATGTATTAATGTATTTTAAATGCTGCGGTTTATCAAATCGCTTCTTGAAGTGTGTATGAGTTTGTTATGTGTATGTATGATGATGATGCAGTGTGTGTGTGTGTATACTAGATGGTGCAGTATGTATATGCCACCTGATGCAATGTGTATATGCCATATTATTCAATGAGTATATTCTAGATGACTCATCTAGAAGATACATACAATATCCTCCTTCATCATCCTAAACATCCTCCTAAACATCACCTTCATATCATCCCCCATCATCTTCACCACACCCACATACTCTCTCACCTCAACCACAACATACCACCACATATAACTTCCCCAAAAATACCACAACATACCTCTACCCACAACACAATAACACACCACAACCATCAATTAATCATTACAATCAAGCCCATATGATCATCATAGCTTACATAAAAATTTTTATTCATAAATCATTAACAGTATTATTGAACGCCTGACTAAAGCATTCCGCCAAAGTCTAAGACTCTAAAATTTTTTTAACTCAACTCAAGTTTCAATTTCACACTTGTATTAAAACTGTGGGCAGAAAATACATACGTATGCCTTATACAAAAAAAAATATTTTATTGATATCAAGGAAAATGTATCGCCAAAATGCTTCGGTGAGAATTAGTGAGAGAAAATCGTCTAAAAGCCGACTCCCTGATTAGAGACAAATTCTCATTTGAAAGTTTTCCATTTTCATTAATTCAACCCCCAGTGGCGTGCATTTTAAATAGAAAATGAAAGAGCAAAGTAAAATTTTATGGGGATTTGCATGAAGATGACAAGTGACTGCCAGTAATGAAAGAACTGGAAGCTGTAAGCTGAACGCTGCCACCCATCCACACTCAGCCGGTTGATATGAGTAACAAGTTTTAGAAAATACTGAGAGTTAAGAGCTGTAAGGAATGTATATTGGGGAGTTTTGGTGAATAATCACATAAAACTTTCTTTCCTTTCAGTTCTTGTTTGTGGTGTTGGGGGATTAGTGAATCATATTGTGAGATCAGTGAATCTTATTGTGAGATCAGTGAATCTTATTGTGAGATCAGTGCCTGTTATTGTGAGATCAGTGTCTCTTATCGTGAGATCAGTGAATCGTATTGTGAGATCAGTGAATCGTATCAGTGTGAATCGTATTGTGAAATCAGTGAATCGTATTGTGAAATCAGTGAATCTTGTTGTGAGATCAGTGCCTGTTATTGTGAGATCAGTGCCTGTTATTGTGAGATCAGTGTTATTTGAGATCAGTGCCTGTTATCGTGAGATCAGAGCCTGTTATTGTGAGATCAGAGCCTGTTATTGTGAGATCAGAGCCTGTTATTGTGAGATCAGTGCCTGTTATTGTGAGATCAGTGCCTGTTATTGTGAGATCAGTGAATCTTATTTTGAGATCAGTGCCTGTTATTGTGAGATCAGTGTCTCTTATCGTGAGATCAGTGCCTGTTATTGTGAGATCAGTGCCTGTTATTGTGAGATCAGAGCCTGTTATTGTGAGATCAGTGCCTGTTATTGTGAGATCAGTGCCTGTTATTGTGAGATCAGTGCCTGTTATTGTGAGATCAGTGCCTGTTATTGTGAGATCAGAGCCTGTTATTGTGAGATCAGTGCCTGTTATCGTGAGATCAGAGCCTGTTATTGTGAGATCAGTGCCTGTTATTGTGAGATCAGTGCCTGTTATTGTGAGATCAGTGCCTGTTATTGTGAGATCAGTGCCTGTTATTGTGAGATCAGTGCCTGTTATTGTGAGATCAGAGCCTGTTATTGTGAGATCAGTGCCTGTTATTGTGAGATCAGAGCCTGTTATTGTGAGATCAGTGCCTGTTATTGTGAGATCAGAGCCTGTTATTGTGAGATCAGAGCCTGTTATTGTGAGATCAGTGCCTGTTATTGTGAGATCAGAGCCTGTTATTGTGAGATCAGTGCCTGTTATTGTGAGATCAGAGCCTGTTATTGAGATCAGTGCCTGTTATTGTGAGATCAGAGCCTGTTATTGTGAGATCAGTGCCTGTTATCGTGAGATCAGAGCCTGTTATTGTGAGATCAGTGCCTGTTATCGTGAGATCAGAGCCTGTTATTGTGAGACCAGAGCCTGTTATTGGGAGATCAGTATTGCTCATGGCGGGCTTAGACCATATTTACTAAACAGTTTACGATCTCTTAAGTGCAACGAGTTAATCCCTAACCCAAGGTTACTCTTGGTATGGACGACCTGGCAGCGCCTAGGAGGTCGTAAACGGTTTAGTAAATAGGATGTGAAGAGGAAGATATGAGGTGCAAATCCATAGTAATCAGACGAGCAAGGACTTCCTAAATACTTCTCTTCATTTTCAATTTGCGTTCATACATACAGTTTATATTAATGTTTATATTTGCGCTCTAAAATTAGCGAGCTTTTTATATCATTAATGGATGCGCTGATACAGGCAGCGGATAAGCTTTTAATCTGCTTTTAATCATAGAAAAATGAAAATGAGGCATAACATCACATCACTCAGCTGCTGACACAAAAGTTCACACGGTGGAGTGAAACATTTTATTGGTATTACCAGTGACCAGCACGAGTGCAACCAGGAGGCCTGGTCAGAAACCGGGCCGCGGGGACACTATTGATCCCCGGAACCAACATTCGGGGAAACTCAGGCATATAACACACACACACACACACACACACACACTTGATTGATAAAGACAGGCTATTTAGCACAAGGGGCACACGCACTAGGGGACACAGGTGGAAACTGAGTGCCCAAATGAGCCACAGAGATATTAGAAAAAACTTTTTTAGTGTCAGAGTGGTTGATAAATGGAAGGCATTAGGAAGTGATGTGGTGGAGGCTGACTCCATACACAGTTTCAAGTGTAGATATGATAGAGCCCAATAGGCTCAGGAATCTGTACACCTGTTGATTGACGGTTGAGAGGCGGGACCAAAGAGCCAGAGCTCAACCCCCGCAAGCACAACTAGGTGAGTATACTCCGCACAGGTCAACAAAATGAAAGCTTAAGTCAGAGCCATTGTAAATAACTTCACAAAACTCTGAAGTCTAGAGACACTAAATTTTCTTCAAGGAGTGCCGGACCAACCGGGCTGTGGTGGGTATGTGGACCTGCGGGCCGCTCTAAGCAACAGCCTGGTGGACCAAACTCTCACAAGTCAAGCCTGGCTTGGGGAGTAGAAGAACTCCCAGAACCCCATCAAGCAGGTATCAACCAGGTAAGTACAAAGGAAGGAAACGCCATTTACATGTGAGTGCGTTGAGAGAGGGTCCTGTGAGCAACAGTCAATTGAGGGGGGAACAAGTTCGATGCCCAACAGGTCCTGTACAATAGTCTAGAGGATCAACGTCATCTACGCTATCTGTAGCGCCTTTGAGGCTCTTATCGTTAGTCTCCAATAATAACTGAGGTCACTAGAGTAATCATCAACCAGTGAAGAGATTAGAATAGTAAATGAATTGATTTCGCGTAATTATCAACAGAAAAAGAGCCTCCACGTCTCGATTTTTCATGTCTTTGACCTGTCTCCTCAGGATCAGGATACTCTTAATTACACTAATTAGAGTGTTGTCAGCGTTTAACGACCTTACGAGCTTGCATATAATTATCCTTGGGGTCACTTCGGTCACTTCTCCTGCACTGTGTGATAATTATTCCCTCCTGTGAAATATCAGGTCCCACCTCTAGTGGAATATCAGATCGCCCCTCTAGTGGAATATCAGATCCCCCCTCCAGTGAAATATCAGATCCCCCCTCCAGTGAAATATCAGATCGCCCCTCTAGTGGAATATCAGATCCCCCCTCCAGTGGAATATCAGATCGCCCATCTAGAGGAATATCAGATCGCCCCTATATTGGAATATCAGATCGCTCCTCTAGTGGAATATCAGATCGCCCCTCTAGTGGAATATCAGATCGCTCCACTAGTGGAATATCAGATCCCCCCTCTAGAGGAATATCAGATCGCCCCTATAGTGGAATATCAGATCGCTCCTCTAGTGGAATATCAGATCGCCCCTCCAGTGGAATATCAGACCCTAATTCCTATCCCCTTCTATTCTTATTATAATCCTTCTCATTCGACCTTCCTTAGTCTATCCTTCATACCATCTTCTATCTCTCACTAGACTTTCACTTTCACTCTTTTTTCTTTTACTTCTTTCACTCTCATCTTCCCGTTTCTCTTTGCTGTTCTTCGCTCTTCCTCTTTCTCAATTTCACCTCCATCCCCTTCACCCCCTCGTTACAGCCGGAATTCACTCTCCACTCACCCTCACTCCTCCCCCAGTCACTCTCACTCCTCCCACAGTCACCCCTACCCTCCCACAGCCTCCCTCGCTTCCCCCTTCAGTCACACTATCCCTCCCATTGTCTCCCATACTCCTCCCACAGTCACCCTCATCCTCCCACTGTCACCCTCACCCTCCCACTCCCTCTCCTCCTAAGCCCTGCAGGAGGAGAGACAGTGTCAGAAACAGGAAGACTTCTTCAAATTCATAAAAGGTCTGAAAGTTGTGAATTTTTTCTTGATATAAGATGGTGGAGGTGAGAAGTGTGGGGTAGGGGTGAGAGCTGTGGGGGTTGGGGAGGTTAGTGTCTCACTCTACAGTTGTCCCAATGTTGTGAAATATAACTAACACAACATTTTCATTCACAACATCACATCTCTACTATCCCCTACCCTGACTCCCCCTCAGTCATCAATCCCACTCCCATGCAATCATCACTACCCCCCCAGAAGGGGGGGGCCTCCGTTCTCTTCCGTTTGCTTGTCTGTGTATGCTTCCTAATGTCTCCTAATATACAGTCTTCCGCGCGACAAAGCAGGACTTCCCCAAACTTTACTCTAAATTTGCATAGTTTCTTGAGACGGGCAAAGTTGTCCATGGCCGGGACCCCGAACTTTAGTATCCTTCAGACGGGCCAATCTTGCCCAAAATATATTTGGTGGTATGTTATATTGCCGTCATGTTCACCTGGTCTGCTGGGGTGGGTGGTGTCATGTTCACCTGGTCTGGTGGGCTGGGTGGTGTCATCTTCACCTGGTCTGCTGGGGTGGGTGGTGTCATGTTCACCTGGTCTGGTGGGCTGGGTGGTGTCATGTTCACCTGGTCTGGTGGGCTGGGTGGTGTCATGTTCACCTGGTCTGCTGGGCTGGGTGGTGTCATGTTCACCTGGTCTGCTGGGCTGGGGGGTGGTGTCATGTTCACCTGGTCTGCTGGGGTGGGTGGTGTCATGTTCACCTGGTCTGCTGGGGTGGGTGGTGTCATGTTCACCTGGTCTGCTGGGGTGGGTGGTGTCATGTTCACCTGGTCTGCTGGGGTGGGTGGTGTCATGTTCACCTGGTCTGCTGGGGTGGGTGGTGTCATGTTCACCTGGTCTGCTGGGGTGGGTGGTGTCATATTCACCTGGTCTGGTGGGCTGGGTGGTGTCATCTTCACCTGGTCTGCTGGGGTGGGTGGTGTCATCTTCACCTGGTCTGCTGGGGTGGGTGGTGTCATGTTCACCTGGTCTGCTGGGGTGGGTGGTGTCATGTTCACCTGGTCTGCTGGGGTGGGTGGTGTCATGTTCACCTGGTCTGCTGGGGTGGGTGGTGTCATGTTCACCTGGTCTGCTGGGGTGGGTGGTGTCATGTTCACCTGGTCTGCTGGGGTGGGTGGTGTCATGTTCACCTGGTCTGCTGGGGTGGGTGGTGTCATCTTCACCTGGTCTGCTGGGGTGGGTGGTGTCATCTTCACCTGGTCTGGTGGGGTGGGTGGTGTCATCTTCACCTGGTCTGGTAGGCTGGGTGGTGTCATCTTCACCTGGTCTGGTGGGGTGGGTGGTGTCATGTTCACCTGGTCTGGTGGGCTGGGTGGTGTCATGTTCACCTGGTCTGGTGGGCTGGGTGGTGTCATGTTCACCTGGTCTGGTGGGCTGGATGGTGTCATCTTCACCTGGTCTGCTGGGCTGGATGGTGTCATCTTCACCTGGTCTGCTGGGCTGGATGGTGTCATCTTCACCTGGTCTGGTGGGCTGGGTGGTGTCATCTTCACCTGTTCTGCTAGGCTCAATTATGAACACCTGTTCATAATTGAGTCTTTTGCTTTGTCCAGGACACACTGACCTCAGGGGCAGATAGCCATCGCTTCCTTGCTATAACTTGCTAATATAACAGGTATTGAGGTCCTATTTCGGTTAAGTGCAATAAGTTGGGCAACAGAAGCAGCTTCAGTACACTTCCCTTCTTCAGATTTCCCCCTTAAAATTCCCATTCCTCGGCTACCACTTCCTCACCTGCCATTGCTTAGCATCACCCTTCACCCCTAGACCACATCCTCGTGAAGTTACAGCCGCCACTGTGAGTGACCAGTCATAAGACACAGGCCAGGAGACTGGAGCCGGTCTCCATCCATCCGGCGGCCGGAAGCCATCCATGGGGCCACCCCCTTAAACCCTCTCCACCGATATTATATTGTGTTCGTCTTCCAGGGAAGTGACGGGTTGACAGGAAAGCTCAGGGAAGTGACGGGTTGACTGGAAGACTCAGGAAAGTGACGGGTTGACTGGAAGACTCAAGGAAGTGACGGGTTGACTGGAAGACTCAAGGAAGTGACGGGTTGACTGGAAGAATCAAGGAAGTAACGGGTTGACTGGAAGACTTCAGGGAAGTGACGGGTTGACTGGAAGACTCAGGGAAGTGACGGGTTGACTGGAAGGCTCAGGAAAGTGACGGGTTGACTGGAAGACTCGGGGAAGTGACGGGTTGACTGGAAGACTCGGGGAAGTGACGGGTTGACTGGAAGACTCGGGGAAGTGACGGGTTGACTGGAAAGCTCAGGGAAGTGACGGGTTGACAGGAAGGCTCAGGAAAGTGACGGGTTGACTGGAAAGCTCAGGGAAGTGACGGGTTGACTGGAAAGCTCAGGGAAGTGACGGGTTGACTGGAAAGCTCAGGGAAGTGACGGGTTGACAGGCTCAGGGGAAAAGGCATGATGTGAAGGGTGAGGTGAACATATATGTCCTCGACACAGCCATCTGAGACTCACAATCTTATTCCCTTCAAGACTACGCTGCTCTGAGGCATAATAAGATTTCCTTCCTGACAAAGGAGAAGGTCTTGTGGACGCACGAACCGAGAGCATTTTCATCTCAGAAAATGCTTTAATACGTGCATCAATCATGCATAACGCATGCAAGGCACGACTAAGCTGAGATGTTTTGAACTGTTGACAGCTTCAGCAGCTGACGCAAGGTTCTGAGTGGCAACATAGGGCGGCCTTGACTGTCAGAAGGTGACAAGTTGAACACCCGCTTGCCAGATTGTCAGGAAAGGGATATCCAACATGTCGATTCTAGGAATTTTAACCTGAGATACTTTGAGCTTAGGAGCGTGTTCGGAACCTGCTCGTTTAGTGAGGGACATGTAGTGAGGCGAACGGCAAGAACGAATTTATTGATAAAATGACTGTAAGAATAACATTGGTTGCCATTACTGTATATCAATAACATTAGGTGTTCTCAGAGAGCGGTGGGACAGACTAGGACACTGACATTGGGACAGACTAGGACACTGACATTGGGACAGACTAGGACACGACATTGGGACAGACTAGGACACTGACAGTGAGACAGACTAGGACACTGACATTGGGACAGACTAGGACACTGACATTGGGACAGACTAGGACACTGACATTGGGACAGACTAGGGCACTGACAGTGAGACAGAGACAATGATTGTCTTAAACAGTTAGTAATAACATATTAACAACAGTTGTTGGTACAGGTTATAAACGCAGCGGGTCTTCCCAGGCCCCGACAGTCATAACACACTGCCCAGGTTGTAATGTGATTGGGTGGCAGTGGCAGGAGGCCTCATAACCCAGTTTTTTACCCCCATTAGTGCCCTGAGAGGCAGCCTAAGTAGAGTCACAAATAAGGAGGACAATGGCACTTCGTGTCACACTCTCCTGCAGTGAACCATTACTTGCTTTTGCTTTTGTTTCTTATCTTAGTGTGTGTGTGTGTGTGTGTGTGTGTGTGTGTGTGTGTGTGTGTGTGTGTGTGTGTGTGTGTGTGTGTGTGTGTGTGTGTGTGTGTGTGTGTGTGTGTGTGTGTGTGTGTGTGTGTGTGTGTGTGTGTGTGTGTGTGTGTGTGTGTGTGTGTGTGTGTGTGTGTGTGTGTGTGTGTGTGTGTGTGTGTGTGTGTGTGTGTGTGTGTGTGTGTGTGTGTGTGGTGTGTGTGTGTGTGTGTGTGTGTGTGTGTGTGTGTGTGTGTGTGTGTCACCTGTGTGTGTGTGTGTGTGTGTGTGTGTGTGTGTGTGTGTGTGTGTGTGTGTGTGTGTGTGTGTGTGTGTGTGTGTGTGTGTGTGTGTGTGTGTGTGTGTGTGTGTGTGTACTCACCTAGATGTGGTTGCAGGGGTTGAGCTTTAGCTCTTTGGTGTGTGTGTGTGTGTGTTAGTTACCTAGATTTGCTTACAGGGTCGAACTTTAGCTCCTAACTCCCAACGTTCCAGCTGGTATTTACTTAAGCAGTGATCCTTCAGTATCTTTTTGAGGCTAAGTAAAAGATGTTGCTTCGTCAAGAACTTACCTTAACTCGTTCCACTTATTACAACTCTTTATAAGAAAACTTTCTCTGTGGTCCATTTGTGATGCTAATTTCTAGCGATGCCTAATCGTGTCAATATAGCCAATTCTGCTCATTACTGTTTGTGCACTTTGTCGAGCTCCTTATACAGGTGGTGCCAGAGTCCAGACCAGCTGAGAACAGGTAGTGCCAGAGGCTACACACCTGAAGCCAGAGGCTACACACCTGAAGCCAGAGGCTACACACGTGAAGCCAGAGGCTACACACCTGAAGCCAGAGGCTACACACCTGAAGCCAGAGGCTACACACCTGAAGCCAGATGCTACACACCTGAAGCCAGAGGCTACACACCTGAAGCCAGAGGCTACTCACCTGAAGCCAGAGGCTACTCACCTGAAGCCAGAGGCTACTCACCTGAAGCCAGAGGCTACTCACCTGAAGCCAGAGGCTACACACCTGAAGCCAGAGGCTACACACCTGAAGCCAGAGGCTACACACCTGAAGCCAGAGGCTACACACCTGAAGCCAGAGGCTACACACCTGAAGCCAGAGGCTACGCACTTGAAGCCAGAGGCTACGCACTTGAAGCCAGAGGCTACGCACTTGAAGCCAGAGGCTACACACCTGAAGCCAGAGGCTACACACCTGAAGCCAGAGGCTACACACCTGAAGTTAGAGGAGCTGTGCCCTCTGGTAATGTTTGTAAATATATTCAGCTTCTCGTGAATAATTTACTCCCCTCTGCTCTTCTGCAGTGTTCTCTCTTATGTTTATTTACTGAAGCACGTCACATTCTTTGCTTTGTTGATATTGGAACTTAACAGTAGCTGCGATTTCTAGTTACTTATCAACCTTTACCAACTACCATGCAGATGAAGTTGCAACTGCATCCGAGACTTTGTTCATGCATGACTCCTAAATTCATCCCATATGGTTCCAAAATGGTCTCTGTGTTGAATGATTTATTCATTTATGTACACGAATATTCAGAGACCTATTCAGCGTTTCACATATCATCAATTTGTATAACCGTGTTAACTGTCCACCAATGGTCATACACACACCATTGTGTGTGTATCATCAATGGTCATACACACACAGGCCTCGTAAGTCCACAATATTGGCAGGATATACACAGAAAAAATTACGAAATATACTCTTAGTCAGTATATCAAACTATTGTAAATTCTATTTATTGATATTGCAAATTGGTTTACACAAGTTACTCATATCCACTTAAAGGTTCTTCACACGAACTTGTTGGCCCTTACAGGTTCCTATGTTGTTGCAACATGGTTCCTGCAACCTCTTGTCTAGTTTCTAAATGGTTGCCGTCAGTTCATACGTTATTGCTGCATGGTTGCTTCATAGTTCTAAACCGGTTCAAGCAAGAGTTGTGCAAGGTTCTCCCGCTGCTCCTACACTGGCAAGAATGGAGGTGATGCCGGCATGAGAATAAAGGGTAGTTTTGGCTGCAGGTAAAGATAGTGTGGATGATAAGACCAGCATCCTCCCACGGTGATGTTGGAGGATGCTGATGGTGAGAGATGATAGTGGTGGTGGTGAGAGTGATGGTGGTTCGCGTTGATTATTGTGCAGGTGGAGACGGAGTTGGTGATGGTGGTAGTGCAGGTAAGAACTATCCAAGGCAGGTAATGAATATGCAGATGAGAGTGTGACTGGCTGAGCTCAGCCTCCTACTCCCAGCACGCTACTGTCGTCCCTGTCACAGACAGCAGGAGACCTGAAGGTGGCGAGGGACAGCAGGAGACGAGGAACAGCAGAAGACGAGGAACAGCAGGAGGCGAGAAACAGCAGAAGAGGACAAAAGAAGAGATATATTGCTTCCATGATTTGATGCCATCTGCAAAATTTTGTGAAAAACGCGTTTAGCATTCTCGATTTTTCACATTTTCACAAGTTCAAAACGTCACCAACTTGTTAACAAGCTGGACACTGATGTAAAAGTCTAGCAAGATAAGAACCTCAGCGGGTATAGGGCAAGAGACGCTCCCTGCAGCTGGCAAAAGTAAAACTAAGGCATTCTGTGTTTTTAACTGAATGCAATACCGCGGGATTGATACTAACTTTCTCAACTACTGCCCTAGTTCTTGGTTCTCTGCGTGTGGTAGTGTTCAGGTGTCGTGGCAACACCTTGCTAGAGAAACACCGGCGCAACACCCAACAAGAAACACCGGAGCAACACTCAGCCACTACTCCATAAGCAACACCTGAGAGCATTATCACAACATAAACTCTCACACTCCCACAAATAACTGTATTATTGTTCGACTCTCACGTTTTTTGCACCAGATCTGCTCTTGGGTACAGTGCTGGGATTCTTTGGCACGTATAATATATATATTATATTATATTATATATTATACGGGCTACAAGTGGGCTACACAAGACAAATTAACGCAATAGTCAATATGAGATCAGTTCGTCTCTGATAATC